GCTGGTTACTGAGGACTGGGTTGGGACCTATGGCTACTGTAGATGGGGGAGATATATCTCTTCTAATCGTAAAAAGGAGGCCATCATCTGTCCGTTCTTTATATAACCTAATTCCCCAGGAATATCCTTTGTCCCAATTCAGGGTTGACTTTTTACCTGGTGTTGTGAAGTCTATGCGGAGGGGGTGGCACCATTCTCTCTCATAGGCCTGTTTATGAATAGTTTTCCAATCCTCATAAGTCCCATGAGAATAATTTGCTTTTACAGTGATATAGTCCCATGATGAGGACGGACCCCACCAAGCGTCTCCAGTGGTTTCACATCCCAAGTTTTTGCAGAAAAAATCCCCCCCTCCCCCACATTTAGGATTTAAAGATACAGCCCTGTGAAAGCCTGGGCAGACATAAAAGGTTAAGGTACGCAACATGGCCCAGTGTTCAGGAGGGCCACATCCTCCCCATGGGTCCAGTCCCAGTCTCCCAGGAGGATTCACCAATTTGGGTACCGTTACAGTATCGTGGGTTCCTTCTAAGTCCCAAGGCTCCGGTACCCCTAAAGCTAACTTGCACAAATCTGGATATAATGTGGGCCACCAAGTATCTTTTGGTGCTGTCTTACGGACTTCAAATACCACAATGCCCATTTGATTGACTACTTGCCAGGTGGTTGGCACAGCTCTATGGGGGCTCTCATTACTGTGAGCAAACTCACAAGTAAATAGATTTACCCAGAGTAACATGATTAGTATTTTTCTTTGACCAGTCTTATCTTTAGGGGGTTGGTAGTCCGCGCCAGCTGCCATTGTCCTTCTCTGGGGGGTTCCTGGTGAGCCGGATCGGCTGCCTTAACGTGGGAGGCGTGGACCCAGGCTGCAACCCCGTCGACCTTGAGAGCTGTGGGTGTGGTGAGGAGGACAGTGTATGGTCCTTTCCAGCGTGGTTCTAGGCTCCAAGTCTGATGCCTCCGGACCCAGACAGCGTCCCCGGGCTGGAAGGGGTGGGGTGCAATAGGAGTGTCAATAGCATCCTGATAGGCTGCAGCTAGGGGCTTCCAGATCTCCTGGTGAGCCAGCTGGAGTGCCTTCAGGTGAGCAAAGAGGGAAGGTGAATCAACAAAGTTAGAGATATCCGGGTCTAAGAAGGAAACTGCAGGGGGAGGGGTCCCATACAGGATTTCAAACGGAGTTAACCCACTGGGCCCAGGAGTGTTCCTGGCCCGGTATAATGCCAAAGGCAGCAGAGTAACCCAGTCTTTAGTGCCAGTTGCCAGCGAGAATTTAGTTAGAGCCTCCTTAATGGTTCTATTCATTCGCTCTACCTGACCTGAGCTCTGGGGCCGGTAGGCACAATGTAACTTCCAATCAATCCCCAGTAACCTGGCCACCTTCTGACTTACCTGGGAGACAAAGGCTGGTCCGTTATCTGACCCTATTACCTGTGGCATCCCAAATCGGGGAAAGATGTCATCTAATAGCTTCTTGGATACCACCCTTGCAGTTTCTTGCTTGGTCGGGTAGGCTTCTGGCCATCCTGAAAAAGTGTCAATGAAAACTAACAAATATTTATAGCCATACATTCCTGGTTTAACCTCAGTAAAGTCCACTTCCCAGTGGACTCCTGGCCTGTGGCCTCTTTGTCTGACTCCTCCTGAAGCTTTATTTTTGCCCCAGTTTACCTGGGCACCGGCAGCCACCATCCTCAGACAAGGTGGCCAGCCGGCAACCACTGGGTCTAGTTTCTTTGATAAGTAAGCTACGGGGCGTCTCCACGGCCCCAATTTTTGAGTCAGGACCCCCTTTGCATACCCCAGCTTTTCATCAATGTACAGTTCAAACGGTTTTGTTAGGTCAGGCAGGCCAAGAGCCGGTGCTTCCAACAGGGCTTTCTTTATGCTATCGAAGGCCTGTTGGTGGCAGTCTTCCCAAATGAAAGGTTCATCTGTCTTGGTCA